TAAGAGCTCTGCTTGTCAGGAGCGGGGAGTGGGCTTTGGACAGACATTCCCCCCTCACCATTGCTGGCTCAGCAAACCTTCCTTTCAACCAATCTGGCCTCTTTATGGGCTTTTGAGCCATGAGCAGCCGGACCCACCACACACATAACTTTTGGTAACGATGTGATGCTTGATAAATTTTTTCAGATTTATTTTTGGCTGCGGTGCGTCTTCATTACTGCACGCGGGCTTTCTCTCATTGGCTTCTCTCTAGTCGTGGCACGTGGGCTTCTCATTGCGGTGGATTCTCTTATTGTGGCACGCAACTTTCTCTCTTAGTTGCCCTGCGATATGTGGAATCTTCCCAGTCCAGGGATCAAACCTGTGTCCCCTGCATTGGCAAGTGGATTCTTAACCACTGGACCACCAAGGAAGTCCTTAATAAATTATTTAATAGTTGACTGACATTAAAGTGAGTTCAGCTGGCTTAGTTTAAGACAGAGTCACTGACAGATAAAACACTACTTTAAAATACTTTCAAATTTCAGGGTTTTTTAGTTTTAAAGTAGACATCTATATTTTCTCTAATGCTAATTGTACTTAAGATATTTTAAAGAGTCAAACAAAATGAGCAAATATTTTGGAATGTGATAGTGGTTACCCAACTCTGTAAAATTATGAAGAACTGTTGAAGTGTAATAAATGTTTTATGATATGTAATTTACAGCTCAAAGTAATAATGAATAATAAATGAACTGTTAGTCATGTAAAAGTGTTTCTGTTTATGAAAAACAACGAACAACAGAATTCCAGGGCTGAGACAAAACTAGACTCTGCAGTATTTGAACATAATTAGGATGAAGTCTTGGGGATACTTGGAAATTAGCACCATGAACAAAATTCTGACAGGCCCAGAAAATAAGAATTTTAAAAAGCGTTTTTTCTGTTTACGAAGGAAAGAAGTTTCTTTTGTTATAAATTTGAAGGACCCTGAAAACATCCACTGCTTTAGGATAAAGAGACTAATAATCATCTTTTAGATTTAACCACAAGAAGTCATGGGTCCCCTGGAAACGGCAAGGGACCATCCTGTCTGCCCCTTTAATCCCATCCAGGAGCCCTAGAGGGAAAGACTAGGAAAAAGGAACCTTTGAAAAGCCTCCACTCCCAGCAGCATGAGCCATGGATTGTTGAGACTCCAGATTTTCTATAAAGGTGATACAGTGGACACACACACACACACACACAGAGTGTGGAGCCTGGGACATTCTAGAGATGCTGGTAAACGGGGAAGTAACTTGTCTTCATATATTTATCACTATCACTGAGTCAATGGACGTGAACTCAGGAGAGGGACAGGGAAGCCTGGAATGCAGCAGTCCATGGGGTTGCAAAGGACACAACTTGGCGACTGAACAAACAAACAAACATTTATCATTTATCCAGTCACTCTGACAAGCTAATAGATGCTAGTAAAACTTTGAGCTGAGTCTCCCGAGTGTTCCAGAACAGTGGCTCTCAAAGCATAGCCCCAGAAACCCTTTCAGGAGGTAGGCAAAGTCAAAACTATTTTCAAAATAGAGAAGGCGAGGGTGGGGTGATTTGAAAGAATGGTATTGAAACATGTCTATTAGCATATATGAAATAGATCGCCAGTCCAGGTTCAATGCATGCAACAAGGTGCTCAGGGCTGGGGCACTGGGATGACCCTGAGAGATGGGGTGGGAGGGGGGTTCAGGATGGGAACACATGTACACTGTGGCTGATTCATGTCAATGTATGGAAAAACCACCACAATATTGTAATTAGCCTCCAATTAAAATATATAAATTAATTTTTTTAAAGCTATTTTCAAAATAATAACCAAGAGGTTATTTGCATCTTTCACTTTCATTCTCTCACGAGTGTGAAGTAGAATTTCCCACCGACTGCGTCACATATGACAGCCTGCCTGCTGTGTGCAGTGCTGCCATAAAGACCCAGCTACTGTCCCAGAGCAGCTGCTGCCCCGAAGTTAGAGAGATCTGTGAAGCTACAAAAGAGCAGCACAGTTCTTACCAAATGCTTTTTGTTTAAGAAAATATAATAATTTTCATAAGAATTTGTTGCGTTCACATGTAGCTGGTTTTTCCTACTTCTGAATGACTTGATAAGTGATTTTCATTTTTTATTTATTTTTGGCTGCACTGGGCCCTTGTTGCTAAGTGTGGCTTTTCCTCTAGTTGCGGTGAGCAGGCGCTGCTCTTCCTTGCGGTGTGGAGACTTCTCATTGCGGTGGCCCAGGCCCAGGGTAGTTGCAACTCATAGGCTTAGTTGCTCTGCCTCAGGTGGGACCTTCCCGGACCAGAGATTGAACCCGTGTCCCCTGCATTGGCAGGCAGATTCTTAACTGCTGGACGGCCGGGAAGTCCCGATAAGTAAATATTTTGAAGTTGTTTTTTCCCAGTCTTAATTTCTAATATAAATAACCATCACATTCTAGGAAAGGTATTATACTGTACACAAATAATGGTGATTTTGTATTCTTATTTCTAGCAATTATACTTCTTTTTTAGTTTTTGTCATTGTTAGCCAGAAGCTCCAGAGCATGACAAGGCTTCCCAGGTGGCGCTAGTGGTAAAAAAACAAAAACAAAAAACCCCGCCTGTCAATGCAGGAGACATAAGAGACGAAGGTTCTATCCTTGGGTCAGGAAGATCCCCTGGAGGAGGGCATGGCAACCCACTCCAGTATTCTGGCCTGGAGAATCCCCATGGACAGAGGAGCCTGGTGGGCTGCAGTCCATAGGGTCACAAACAGTTGGACAGGACTGAAGCGAGTTAGCAAGCACGTAGACACGCTTGGGCAGTGGCCATGACAGAGTGGGGAGCCAGTTTCATTCCTGGATGAAACAAAAAGGCTTCTTACGTTTCTGAAAACCTGGTTGTATTTTGCAAGCCAGGCCCTGTTCTGGGAAATGTTGACAGGAGTTCTAAAAGAACAATAGCTTGGGATGCACTACTGTGATGTTTCGAAATTTTTTCAAAGGAAAGATTTTTCTTTCGGTATCAAAAAAAAAAAAAAAACAGCCTTTGATTGCTAGTTCTTGTGTGATTTTCAGCAAATCTTTATACCTCCATGAACCTCGGTTTTTCTCATCTATAAATGAATAGATTATATTGGTGCTTCCAAGTCATACTTGGTTGACATTAAAATTATCTTTGAAATCAATGAAGGAAAGCTTTCTTCATAAAAAAATTCCAGCCAACAAAACCAGAATGAGTGAAGGAATCAGATAATTTAGCATTATTGCAACTCCCAGTGATATAACTGATTCAGGAAAGGCTCATCAGTGTTTGTTAAAACCATTCAGTGATAAGTCAGGGAGTGCAGTATTTGCACAGTGACAACATACTACCCCTCTGACTGCATAGTGACTGCAGTGGGGCCAATGGACCTTTACAGTGGATAGATCTAGCTGTCAAGTCCCTGCCTGAACTGAGTGGTCACTCGAATTGAGATACACAGACATCCTGGGAGAACTGATGTGATGTGTAAGTATGAGGGCTTCCCTGGTAGCTCTGCTCGTAAAGAATCCGCCTGCAATGCAGGAGACTCCGGTTCGATCCCTGGGTCAGGAAGATCCACTGGGGAAGGTATAGGCTGCCCACACCAGAATTCGTGGGCTCCCTGTTGGCTCAGCTGGTAAAGAATCTGCCCATAATGCAGGAGACCTGGGTTCGATCCCTGGGTTAGGAAGATCCCCTGGAGATGGAAAGGGCTACCCAGTCCAGTATTCTGCCCTGGTGAATTCCATGGACTGTATAGTCCATGGGTTGCAAAGAGTTGGTCACACCTGAGCAACTTTAACTTTCACTGTAAGTATGAAATATTCTTTCCCAAATGTTAAACTTGAAGCCTACGTGAACCTTTAGACAAGATATATGCTAAGTCACTTCGGTTGTGCCTGGCTGTTTGCAACCCTACGGATCGTAGCCCGCCAGGCTTCTCCGTCCATGGGATTCTCCAGGCAAGAATACCGGAGCGGGTTGCCACTTCCTTCTTCAGGGAATCTTCTGGACTCAGAGGCTGAACCCGCATGTCTTGCCTCTCCTGCACTGGCAGGCAGATTCTTTACCACCAACACCACCTCTAGACAAGAAAGTTAGCAAAAGTTAAAGACTCTTTGCAACCCCATGGACTATACAATTCATGGAATTCTCCAGGCCAGAATACTGAGTGGGTAGCCCTTTCCTTCTCCAGGGGATCTTCCCAACCCAGAGATCTTCCCAAATCCAGGTCTCCTCATTACTGGCAGATTTTTTACCAGCTGAGCCACCAGGGAAGCCCTTAGCCAAGAGGCAGATCCCAAATGTTTGGGGACGTAAAGCTCGTAGAATCCTGGGAGTCTGTTTTTAAGAAAAAGGAAACAAAATTAGATTCAAAAATGAATGTTCGTGTACAATGAGAAAATAAAATCACAAGTTACAAATCTCAAACAGGAATCAATTATCATGGATATCACAAAACCCCGGAAAATAACACCAAATTTGTATTAATCAACTGCCGGAGACTTCTCTATAATATTTACTTTCCCCCCTCTGCTTTTGCCTGCATGCACTTTGATCTATTGTGTAATATTTTCTGGAGAAAAAGGGTTCTTTTCCTGGCTGAAGAGTCAAAGGTGTGGGTCCCCACCACCCACCTCAATTGACTCGGACTTGGGGGGCAAGCCTGGGTGTGGCCAGTGTTGATGCAGACCCAGAGACCTCTGAGATGCGGGCAGAACTGAGAATCTAAGCCTCCCATGCCCCCAGGGATGACTCGCTCTGACTCACACAACAGGATGGCAAACAGAAGCTTGGCAAGAGACAGGAAACTGAAACCTCAGGGCCACCAGCAGCTCTGTGCCCCAGAAAACCCACATTTGCACAAAAGAGACTGAGGGTGCTGAGAGCACGTGGGCCCTGTTGTCCTCACTCTGGCTGGGCCTCCTGAGCTCACCCTCCTCACCTCACCGCTCCCAGGCCTCAGAGACTCCCTCACGAAGTGCTGGTCTTGGCTTTCCTGGCGGCCCAGTGACGAAGACGCTGCCTGGCCGTGCAAGGGACGTGGGCTCTAGAGCCCACGAGCCAGGGCCACGGAATCCGCACGCTGCGCTTATGGAAGCCTGGAGCCTGCGGTCTGCAGCCGTGAGAAGCCGTGAAGAGTAGCGCCTGCTCGGTGCAGCTGCAAAGAGTCCGCATGCAGCCGCGAATTCCCAGCATGGGCTAAAAACAAAGCCAAAGACATCAATCTACAAAGAAACAACAGTGACTAAGAGCTGGTCTTGAAGCATAAACAGAGCCCAGAGGTGATGGTGCCGCAGTGGGTAAACGGCATGGCCCCAGAGGGCACACTAGGGGGATGTGCGAACCCCAAGTTGATCTTCTGACCCCCCCCCATGTCCCTTCCCATCCCCTTTCCTCCCATCCCCTGGCCTCTCTGCTCTGTCCATGGATTTCCCTAGCTTGTACATTTCATATGAAGAGAATCATACGTGTGACCTGTGATTAGTCTCTTTCATTTAACTCAAGGTTGTCAAGGCCCATACATTCTGTAATATATGAGCCCTTGGATCTCCCCTGACCAGGGATCAAATATGTGTCCCCTGAACTGGAGGTGTGAAGTTTTAACCACTGGACCAGTAGGAAAGTCTTTTTTTTTTTTTAATTGCTGAAAAGTTTTCCGTACATGGATGGACCAGAGTTTGTTTATCTGCTCATAAGCTGATGGATATTTGAACTGTTCCCACTTTGGGGCTGTGACAAACAGTGTGTTAGTGCCCACTTTTGATTCACATGCATCCACTTCCCAGAATGCACAACGCACCAGCGGCCATGTCCCTCACAGGCTGACCCAGACAAATGCTCCTCCCAAATGCCTTAGGCTCTGGAACTACCATTCACATCCCCTGAGTCCTAACCTCTTCAGACTCATGGCCTTTATGGTGAACCAGGGCCCCCAGTGTTCTTTCTTCCATCAGCTTTAGTCCAGCCTCCATGCATCAGACAGGCTCCAATAACACTGGACTTCAAAGCAAAACAGTAGAGAGTCCCAGTCACTTTATCTCAGAGTCTCCTCGGCATCACTTATAAATTTGCATCTCCCAGGTTGAGGCACCTCCGAATTTCCCCCACTGACTGCATCTAAGTCCCAGGTGCTTGTCCAGCCTGAGGGTCCTGCCAAGCTCCCCACCACCACCACACCACTACCATCAGCGTAATCCATGGGAGGTCGCCTTGCATCTCTGTCCCCCGCTAGCATCCTGGCTGCAAAGTGGACCTCAGAAAAAATTCCAGTTTCCATTACGAAAGGAGAAGTTACTCTAGCCCATAATCTAGTGCTGGCCCAGCTCCACTAATCTTGAGATGCAGACGTCTGGGAATTCCCCAGTGGTTCAGTGGTGAGGATTCCGTGCTCTCACTGCCAAAGGCCCAGGTTCAGTCCCTGGTCAGGGAACTAAGGCCCACCAGCCACATAGCCAAAAAAAAAAGAAAATCCTGCCCTGGCCCATGGGAGCCCTGTAATATGTCTCTCTAATGTGGCCATCATGACTTGGGGGAAGGCCATTTCAGGGTGGGAGAAGTTGGGACTGTCCCCCCAAATTGGAGCAGACTTCTGCAAAACACTGGAGCAGAGCATGAGACAGGGCAAAGCTCCTCACCCCAGTTTCAGGGCTGAAAGTCCCTCATTGAAGGAAACACTCCATCCCAGCTTAGCCAGGACCGTGAGTCACCCTGCAGAGCCTGGTACATTTCAGTCACAACATCAGCTAAAGACTGAGGTGCAGTTAAGCTCTAGGAAGATGCACCCATCCACGCTGAGTGGAGGACATCAGGAAGTCAGCTGGGGTTGTGAGGGGGCCAGGTAGTTAACCAGCCCAATCACTGTGAGGATCAGCAAACTGTGGGCTCAGCTTTCTTTATAGTGCAAGTGTCACATCCATACATGACTACTGGAAAAACCATAGCCTTGACTAGACAGACTTTAATTGGCAAAGTAATGTCTCTGATTTTTAATATGCAGTCTAGGTTGGTCATAACTTTTCTTCCAAGGAGTAAGTGTCTTTTAATTTCATGGCTGAAGTCACCATTTGCAGTGATTTGGGAGCCCCCAAAAATAAAGTCTGTCACTGTTTCCACTGTTTCCCCATCCATTTGCCATGAAGCGATGGGACCGGATGTCATGATCTTAGTTTTCTGAATGTTGAGTTTTAGGCCAACATTTTCACTCTCCTCTTTTCATCAAGAGGCCCTTTAGTTCCTCTTCACTTTCTGCCAAAAGTGTGGTGTCATCTGCATATCTGAGGTTATTGATATTTCTTCTGGCAATCTTGATTCCAGCTTGTGCTTCATCCAGCCCAGTGTTTCTCAAGATGTGCTCTGCAAATAAGTTAAACAAGCAAGGTGACAATATACAGCCTTGACGTACTCCTTTTCCTATTGGGACCAGTCTGTTGTTCCATGTCCAGTTCTAACTGTTGCTTCTTGACTTGCATACAGATTTCTCAAGAGGTCAGGTGGTCTTGTATTCCCATCTCTTTAAAAATTTTCCAGTTTGTGGTCATCCACACAGTCAAAGGCTTTGGCATAGTTGATAAAGCAGAAATAGATGTTTTTCTAGAACTCTCTTGCTTTTTTGATGATCCAGCAGATGTTGGCAATTTGATCTCTGGTTCCTCTGCCTTTTCTAAAACCAGCTGGAAGATCTGGAAGTTCACCGTTCATGTACTGTTGAAGCCTGGCTTGGAGAATTTTGAGCATTACTTTGCTAGTGTGTGAGATGAGTGCAATTGTGTGGTAGTTTGAGCACTCTTTGGCATTACCTTTCTTTGGGATTGGAATGAAAACTGACCTTTTGCAGTCCTGTGGCCACTGCTGAGTTTTCCAAATTTACTGACCTATGAAACAAGGTAGACCTCAGCAAACACCTCTTCTAGCTGTTGTTTCTAACCTCACAAATATTCACATGTTCCCATTGTAAGACAAGCAAAACTGAAAACAATGCTCATCAAGTGACGAGACTCTCGTGCTCTGAATGTGTTTCAGCAGTCTGCACCCGGGGCCTGGGGAGGGCTTGGCGATCACGTGCTCACGTGTTCTGTGCCTTTAGCCCCTCCTTCACCAGTGCCCCCTCCCCATCTGTAAACACCCCCAGGTCTCCCTATGCTTAAAAAAAAAAAGACACAATTTCCTTGGGCCTTACCACTTCCTGGCTTCACCACCGTGCCCCATCACCACACTTTTCTCAGCATCCTCACACCCACTCACTGATGAGTCCCTCTCAATTTGGTTTCTTTGCCTGCGGCTCTCTGAAAGCCACTGCTCTCCCCGGCAGCCACACCTCACGCTTTGGTCCAACCTCTCCCATCTTTTCGCTCTTCAGCAGTGACCAGCCCCCTCGTTCTAAGAACTCCCTCTGCCTTCTTCCTCCTCTGCCTTCTTTATGTTCCCATCTGATTCTCCTATGTGATTGCAAGATCCTGGAGGCACAGTCTACACTATCATTTTACACCCTTTGGGATATCACGTGCCTAATCAGTTCTTCCATACTGGTTGACTTGATGTCACTTGGGTTCTTTATTTACATTTACTTCCGGAAGGAAACCAGGTCCACCTCTCCCACTCTAAACTCCCCTGTGTCTCAACAAAACGATCAAGAACCTCTCAATTGCTTTTCTCTGGGACCTTAGAAAGTACAGCATACACATATACAATGGAATACTACTCAGCCATAAAACAGAAAGAAATAATGCCTTTTGCAGCAAGATGGATGGACCTAGAGATTATCAGACTGGGTGAAGTAAGCAGAAAGAGAAAGAGAAATACCATGTGATAGCACTTATATGTGGAATCTAAGATATTGCAGAAATGAACCAATCTACAAAACAGACACAGAGAACAGCCTGATGGCTGCCAAGGGGGAGCTGGGGAGCTGGGAGTTTGGGATAAACAAGGTCCTACTGAAGAGCACGGGGAACTACAGCCAGTCTCCTGAGATAAACCATAATGGAAAAGAATCTAAAAAAGAATGTACATATGTGTATAACTGAGTCACTTGGCTGTATAGCAGAAATCAACACATTATAAATCAACTACATTTCAACTAAAAAATTTATTTTAAAAAAATGTACAAAGGAGACTGTTTCACCAAGGTCTGATTTCTCAGCACCTGGGAAGGGGGCTTTAACACCTGATCTTAACCTGAGAAGATCCTATTTGATTTTTACCCAGTACTGGATGTATTCAGACAGCTTCGAGGAATAGTTTCCTGAGTTTCTTGATGTTTGCAGTGCTTACAATGAGTTTCACACTTAGCTAAGCAACTTTTGATACTGTGTGGTTATAACATAATAACCACATGTCGCTTTGTCTTCAACAGTGAAAAATCCGAAGGGCTGTAACCACTGGTAAAAGTGTCTTCTCACGTCAACCACATAGCAGCTCGTGGTGTGATGTGAGCCAGGTGGCTATTTTCATGAAGCAGGTTGAGCACAAATGACAAGGCAATTCATAACCGCCTGGGCTCCGCGCAGTGTGGGCTCTACAAAACACATGCCTTGGGAGAGACAAATCTCTGCGTTCTCTTTCCTGCTTGTGCTTCACCAGCTCTGGGGCTGACTGGTGACGTGCTCCAAGGTCTGTCTGACGCTGCCGTCAGGAGAATCCAAGCTTTGTTTAGCTGAGCATGTTCAGGGCCCTTTGGATGACATCACACCTCCTTCCTTTGCCATCTGACCTTTCTCCAGCTTTAGTGGAAAGTGCTCCCAGGAGGGCAGGTCCTGCCCAGTGGGTGTGTGGGGCAGGGACCAGGACCAAGGGTCTGGGCTCACCTCCTGGCCACGGTTCCTCTCTCTCCTCCCCAAGGAGGAGCCCAGAGCCTCCCTTTCCTGAGAGTCTGCCTTCCCCGAGGGACCCAGCAGTTCACGCCCCTTCACTGCCCCACAGTGTCCCCTCTGGGAAACTTGCTCTCCTATTTCTCTGGCCCCAAAGATGGAGGGGGGGACGCCCCTGAGCGAACCACCAGCTGAGAAACCCAAGTCCCCTCCTTCATGAGTCATCTCTCCCCTTTGACTCCTATGGAGTCGCTGAAATCCTCAAGAATTTCCAGTCCTTGCTCTGCCATTTTGGCTGGTGAAACTGACTCCAGAATTAAACAGTGAAGTCAGTCCTAGGGCCCCCCATCCTCTAGCCCCGAGCACATT